TAATATAATTTATGTATATGTCAGCTATTGTTTAGGACTTAGAGCATGCTTAAAAATATAGAGATTAGCGTTACAATCAAATGAAACTTAAAGCAACAAAAAAAAAGTATAAAGATTAATACTAAAACATACTGAAAGAACAGGGACTAATAATTTCCAATTAGGCCTTGCACATTTGTATGAGTCAAACCTTAACATTTGAAGAAGTAAGAAGCAAGCTAGAAGGGAGCAGCACATTGGCCTTTGGAATTTGTGAAGTATTAGAAAACCAGCCGCTCATGAAGATCTGACTTAAGATCGAATCCAATGACATTACACTCTCTCCCCTCTTTACTTAAGGTGTCTTTTAGAATTTTTTTTTAATCTTTAACATAAGTTGCATAGAGGGTTATTAATTACATTGTCTAATTTTACTCCCGTTACAAATTATTTAAAAAAATTTAATTTTTAATTTGATATTTTTATATAGCTCTTCAAACGTGTGTTTTTCTCTCTTTAATAGGGATAAAATTAAAATATTTTTTAATTTTAAAACATATTTAATGAATTAACCTTTTATTAGTTACAGTGAAGCAATTAAAAGTGACTTATCATAAAAATTAGAGAGAGAAAATTTTCTTCACTCTACTTCTTAATATATCCATTTTATTTTTATGAAAAATCTAAACTTTTTGAGTTAACCTTATTATTCATTACATTTTATAGCAAAATATTAAATTCATTATAACTTAACACTCATCCTTGGTTTGAATAAGGAGAAAAGTAGAGAAGGGGGGGAGGGGGGAAACTAAGAGGGAAAACTTTTAAATTTGAAAAATTTTCTTCATAATTTTCTCTCTTTTTTATTTTTTTCTCCATCCAAGCCAAGCCTTAAAAAGAACGTGGATTTACAAATCCAAGCATTAGTATTACTCAAAAACATGCTAATTAACAAGACTCATGATGAGGATTTACCATATCACAAATTTAATGAGGATAATCAAGGCAATTTGGCCATCACAACTAATTTTTCTAGCAAAACATGGCCTTGGGAAGTTGGTCAACATCACTTAAAACCATTGAAACCATGCTGCCAGCAGATTTTATTTATATACTTCCTCATAACTTTATTATAAAGCATTTTTTTTTACAAGAGATAGATAATCTTAATTATAAATTTTAAAATCATTAATTATGAGAGAAAATGCAATGTAAATATAATTTTTTTTTCATTTGTAAGATAAATTTAATAATTACTATTGTTTTAATTTTTGTAAGATAATTAAAAGTATTTTATAGTAAAAACGAGAGACGTATTGGTAGGGGTGTTCACAAGACAGGACAAGATCGAGACACCCATGTCCCGTGTCTCGTCCTAAAAAAAGAGATTGAAACTGAATTTTGATCCCGTGTCCCGTCCCATCTTGAAATTATCCCGTCCCGTTAGGAGTTAGGACAAAATCGAAACAAGATCGGGATGTCCCACCATCCCAAGAAATGGGATAATATCAGAAAAAGATCTGAATAATAACATTTATTAAAATTTTAAATTATACAATTTATTAAATTTAAAATCAAAACAACACAAGTACATAAATCACAATAATTTAAAGAATTATTGAATCATATTAATCATAACTACACATTATAATAACAAATATAAGTGATCCTTATGCTATAAGAGTAACAACAACAGGCAAGTTATGCATAACATCAAATTATTGTCCTTCTATTTAGTAAAATGTACTAAGTTAATTTCTCTTCTGAAAATAAAACAAGAAATACGTTATCAATAAAAGTTATTAAATAAATAGATATAAAAATAAATTATATTAATATAATTAATATATTATAAAGAAAGATATCACCATATTTACTCCATGTCATTAAAATTATCAATATAGAAAAAATTTAATTTTAAATAGGAATTGCAAGTATTGAAATTATAATTAATATAATTACTATAAATATAAATTATATTAATATAATTTATATATTTAAAATAATATATATAATATTCAGGACAGGACAGGACAGGACATCCCGCTAGTAATCTCATGTCCCGTCTCATTCCGAATTCATTTTCTGTTTCGCCCTGTAAAATCTCGTCTTGATTATTTTTAAATCTGAATAAAATTCATCTTAATATGATCAATTGAAATGAGTTCAAGCTGAGCTTCCCTACGCATTGGTAATTGATGATGGGCCTCTAGTCAAAAGAGAGGCTTCAAATTTCAATGCTGTTTGTGAGGGAGAGAGTAAGATCAGGACAACATGCTGCTACACTATTTTTATATTCCAAGTTGAGATACAAGTGAATGGGCAATTCACATGGGAATCAGACGATCACTGTGCCATCTTTCGTGATCTCGGCACTTGGGAATCCAATAAACAAAGCAAACATAAATAATTCAACATGACATTACATAATCATCAATGATTACGGACAAAGCTACGCTAAGAGCAACGTACAGATGCTATATATACTATAGCTGTTGACTCTCGATTGCTATTATTTAACGTGGCTGGCACTATTATTTCTTTTTTTTTTTTGTTGCCATGTGATTTGGGTTTTAATTTTAATAATATAAATTAATTTATATTTTTAAAAACTATCAAATCTAATTTAGTGGTTTAGATTTGTAATGTTTCATCCCTACAATAAAAAGAAGCCAACACATTATACTAGAGTCAAGCCGGTGAATCATACATTCATACTTTCCCAAAGAGGTAATAAGATCATTTGAACTCGAAATGTTGACATCACCTGAAGATTGTGTACGGGGTAGTACAGCGAACTCTGCAATTGCGTCCAGTCCTAAGTAGATGAAGTTCTCAAAAATGATTATTACTATTTGCAACATAATACTTCTTCTAATTCTGTTTATAAATTATTTTTATTAACTTCATCAATATTAATATAATAAAAATATAAAAAATAAAAATAAATAAAATTTTAAATATAACCTTTAAATAAAAAGTAAAAAAAATAATATACTATTTTTTATCTTTTTCTCTCCTATTTTTTATGAATAATTTAAAAATTTTAATTTAAAACAAAACAATCTTATCAACTAGTAATTTATAAAATAAATTAGATTATGTTTTAAAAAAATAATTAATATATAGGACTGGAAGAGTATTATTTAAAGCCAAATATTTATAACACGTATACACTCATATCGATACATGTATTTCTGGTTGGATGGGGATTAAGCAAATGTCTCTTCATATCTATTCATAAGAGGCTTTTACAGCAGCCATCCACATGACCACAGTTGGACCCGAATTTAGTGCACATCTTGAGAATTTATAAGAAAATATACAGGGGCGGAACTAGCTTTAAAAATCGCGGGGCCGGGAGTGGGGGAAGGGAATTTTTTTAAAAATAAATGTATATTTAATTTTTAAAATTAATTTTATCAGTTAAAATATATTATTATATTAATCATTAGAAGTATAATTACATAAATATTTTAAGAAAATTGAAAAAAAAACACGATACCATATATCTAAATAACTAAATATAATATATATTTTTATTAAAATATATTCCTTTCAGTTTTATTTATAAATCACTCCAAGCATTGTTACCGGAATCAATAAAAATTTTAAACTGTATTAACTTTATCTAAAAATTTAATATTTTTTACTTTATTCTTATTAAATATACATATTTAAAAAATAAAAGACTCTAGTATTTAATATCATTCCTTACATTTAATATGAACAATGATAAAAATAGACATGATATTCATTAAAGTATTTCATAAATAAAACCAAAACAAGTATTACAAATAAAAAAAAGGTATGCATATTGTATTATATACATATAATATCTTAATTAAGAAAATAAATATGATAATTCTCTTTTTTGGGAGGGGAGCTGCAACAGACACCATCCCCTCTTATAATGTTTGAGGTGCTGGGGTGGGAGTGGAGGGGCCCGTCCTTGAATATCCATATATGTATACATACATACATACTAACTATCAATAGATTTAATGTTAAATAATATAAATTATTTTTAATCTTTTAATATATAATTATTTTTCTTTTTTTAAAAACATCCCTATTAAATAAATTATTTTATATTTATTTTAAGATAAAACACTATATTAAATAAGAAAAAATATGAAAATATAAAATTAATTTAAAAACAAATAACTATTTATTTGAAGTGATATTCGGTTAAAAATATTTTTATATTTTTAACGGAAGGAGTATATATGTATTTGTATATATATACATGTATGTATGTATGTATGTATGTATACTCCTCCTTTAAGTATTACAAGATATTTTTAATTGAGTTATATCTCCAATAAATTAATTAATTTTTTTAAAATTTTTCATTCTTTTGATGTATATTCTTGTTTAATAAAGTATTTAAATTAAAAAATATTATTAATTATATTTCTAATTAATAATATTTTTTTAAAAAAAATCTTATTGATGCTTTATATTTATTTTCAAACATGATACTTTGAAAAAATATCCTATAAAAGTATAAATGCATATTGGCAATAACAATATGCATTTATTAATAACAATCTGTTGGCAATAACAATCTAGCATCAGATTTAGATTCAAGTACTGTCCCATAGGAGACATCTCTTTCGAATTCACAATATTCAGATACTTAGATATCAAGCCTTCCTATTTGACCTAATCGTAGTTATGAGAAAAATATTAGTACCGACATGTATCTTATGTTTCATATTTTTTTTTAAAATTTAAATCATCATTTTTTGAAGTCATATTATTAACAAAAAGAGTAATATTATTATAATTCAACAATAAAATAATATAATTCAGATTTTCCAAATTTAACTTTGAATTGTCCAAATATAAAATAAGCACCTCAAATATGTTCACGGATCTCAATTCCTGTAAGTTGAATGATGATTGATCAGTCCATAAATAATAATACACACAGAAATCAGCAATAAAATAGGGTAAAAAGCGAGCTAATCAAGCAAAGCATCTTTCTATAAATTGCCCCACTACGCCATAATTAAAAGAAAACCACCACCAAGTTGAGAAACCAACTAGAGGTTTACTTGATGGATTCCATGAAGTCTAACAAGATCACAGATATCGTTAGGCTTCAACAAATCCTCAAGAAGTGGAAGAAGGTGGCCAATGCTTCCAAGAACAACAAAGCTTCTATTGCTACTGCTTCAATGTCTCATTCTGCAAGCAATAGCAGTACTAGTGGAAGCAAAGGCATCAAGTTCTTGAAAAGAACTCTGTCCTTCACAGATGTTTCTAGCTCGAATGAGACTGTCCCTAAAGGGTTTCTAGCTGTTTGTGTAGGAAAAGAGCTCAAGAGATTCATTATCCCAACAGACTACTTGAGACACCAAGCTTTTGAGATGCTGTTGAGAGAAGCTGAAGAGGAGTTTGGTTTCCAACAGGAGGGAGTGCTCAAGATTCCTTGCCATGTATCAGTGTTTGAGAAAGTGTTGAAGGTCATGCAAGGCAAAACAGAAGCATTCTTGTCCCAAGACAAGGACAAGATGATTACTTGTTATATTTCAGATTGTGATGCTACTTCATCCTCACATCAAGCTCAAATGTGTAGATGAAACGTATATTGGTCTTTTCTTTCGTTTTTTTTTTAATTTTTCTTGGGGGGGTCTCTTTTTATCCTTTCTTTTGTTTTTGTGATAGGATGTGCATTAGAGAGGAAAGCTTAGATTTTGGACGTAGAATAAAGCCTAGTTACCTAAATGCCTTCTCTTTTGCTAGAAATATTAGCAGCAAATGCAAGTATTTCCATTAGCTGTTAATGCAATGCCTTGTACAATCTCAACAAAACGATGACGTGCAGGAGTGATTGTGCTGCACATGACTTGAAACATCGGGATCCCCTCCCATGATTGATGAATGATAATTCAATTAAAATTTATTCCAAATCCAATCACCCTTCAGTCTCATGTTATGAACTAATTACATATCCTAAGATTTTAATAATTGTGGGATCCATCCAGAGAATATATATATATATACACTGTTTACAATCTAGAAGGAGGAAATAGAAAACCCCGTGTTACCTCATAAAGCTATACCCCTGGAGGCTCTATGATTTCATCAATAAGCAGGCAGTCCAAGCAAGTAACTGATTTATCGTTTTGAATAACGATCTACAAGTGGTTTAGCATTTTCCGGTGCAAAGAACCGTGCCTGCACAAAAACGAATACTTGAAATAAGTAAAATCCCTATATTTGGCTGGCGAAAAGGGAAGTTTTAGGAAGGTAAAGAGCTGATAACATCAACGACAGGATAACTAAATAACAAGATCCCCTAAAACATCAAGGGCATCAATGTAACGTCACACTTCCATACATTCTAGTGATTAATGTTGTAAAGCAAATTATTAATACATAACAATCAGAGGTTAGGTTATGTGTATGGCATGTAGCATTCTTTCACATCTTTTACTCAGACGTATTTGAGCAAATTCATATGCTTACTTGAATAAACATCCTCTCAGCATCTCCAAAGTTGCTGTTCTCTTTCAGGATAATTCCCTGCAGAGGTACAAGGGTGATTAAATATGAATGTATGTCTAATTTTACATCACATCTTGCCGTCCAAAAAGCATGAGTGACAATAGGAAAGAAAGTATCGGTTAACAAAAATGAACAATGCAGAGGGACACACTGATATGTGAGCATTATGATGTGCAATGGCTTTTACATGTGTGATTAGTATGCAGAGACCGAAGAAAATGCTTGTCAATTTTTTTTGGTGGCCAAAAATGTCTTCCCACTATTCAAAACGTGCCAGTTCATATACATGGTACTGAGGTAGAGGCTAATACCTCCAAGGAGCTAGTACTAATAACGACAAATCACTATAGTTAAACCTAGAAATATGAAATGTAATATATATATATATATATATATGAGAATTAGTCAGGGGTGTTAGTTTGGGGGTAGCCACCCTAGTCCATGGGCGTTAGGCTCTAAAATGATATGGAGAATTCAATTGTAAGTAGGGCTTGACAGTTAATGAAGTTCTTTTCCCTCGTTGCCTTTCTCTCCCTGTTTCTCTCTTTTCTCTTCTATTCTATGTTCTTCTCTGTCTCTCTCTTTTCACTATTCTGTTAACCATTATCCATCAAAATATGCCTGTTAATTACATGTCATTCTAGCTTATTCAATAAAAATATCCTAATAACATGCATCTAGGTTCTGTAGACTGCAGATTAATGCCTCTATCTAGATTACCATGCTCAAAATATGAGTTTTATTTGTATGCTCTGATAATCTTCATTTCTTATATTAATTAGACTACATTTATTTTTCCCCTTATTATTCAATCATTCAGGTACTGGTGAAACTTTTGGAGACACTGATAAATTTTAATTTTTGGGTTTGGAAATAAATTAAAGAGAGTCTAACTTTTTCAGGAAAAAAGTTATAATTATGTTTGTGATGGGAACCAAGACAACAAATGATGGAAATGGTTGTTAATGTATAATATATTAACAAAATAGCCGAGTGAGCCTCCAATCAGTATAAGAATGAAGGTTTAATCTCATATAGTCACAGCAAGTAGAAAAACAGTCACACAATTAATGAACAGTGAAAGAAACACTAGCAATAGAAAAGCTAGTACTTTCCACTCCCAACTCCACTTCTCCACAATCCCCCTTTCCTACATGCATCATAGTTAGTTACAATCCGTTTCTCTCACCGCCAGTTCATTTGCTCCCTTTATCTTTTTCTTCCTCTGATGTGTTGTTTTAGTTGTGGGCTGGGCCAAGTAAGGCCCATCAGTTTGCAATTGCAAAAGGCTACTATCATGTTTACGAATAATACTATTCACCACTTAGTTCTTGAAATCCTCAACCTTCCTCAAGTTGTAATGATATCTTGGATTTTCCAATTATTTGATCCCTCTTCAGTGAAAACTTTTCTGCAATAAATGATGGACCGTTATATATGCAGAGAAAGGAGGGATAATATTCTGAACAGTTCGTTTATTTGAATAATTGGAAGCTACGTTTAGAGGTACCATGGCACCATGCTTGCCACTAGAATCCGGTTATGGATAATATACACTCTTCATACTATATTTAATTTGTTGGATTCGGTGAAAAATGAAAAGGAAAAAAAATCATGATGTCGCCTATATATATATATATATATATAAATGAGAAAATTAAAACCTTAGCTAAGTATCCACGGAAATCATCAGGGTGAGTAGATATAAGCTGATCATAAACCGCTACAGCATCACTGACATGGCCCCAATCTGAGTAGGCTTTCCCGAGAAGTAATTCAACCTGCATTTTGCAGTGCCATTGACGAATAAGCCTAAAGATGGAAATAATTTCCCCAAATTCATTCTTAAAAATAAACTACTGGATGAATGAAAATGAGATAATAAGCACAGAGAATAATTCATCAAGGAAAACGATGAAGGAACTTGAAAAGATTCAGGTGAATGCTATCAAAGTCTACTCAAATTTTCGCCATTACTATGATAACACACTAGGCTCCCCGTGGAAAGCGAGGCATTCCCCTTTGGACTTATAAAGTTTATCCATATGAAAGCATCTTGCCTTATGTGTCACTGCATTTTGGGTCTCAACCTAAAAGAATATTAACCCTCCTGGACTTCATAAATTCTTTCTCCGTAATTATAAAAGTACATGAAGAAGATGGTTTTAATCTTCAATAACTTGTATTTCTAAAATTAGATGAACAAGAAAGGTGGGAATCATTTGATCATCATAAAACTATTCTTATGTCTCGATAAATAAATAACTTGGTTTGACAAGGAACTCAAGTATCTTAACTGCTCTGCAGCTACTCCCCAAAATTCAAATCTAGAGTAATGTATTATGCATATAAGAAAATTATGATATTTCAGGAGATAGTGCTTTCTATGAGAAAGTTAGCAGGCGAAAGAAAAGAAAAGCAAATGACAATTTGAGAAAGGGTAATGGGACTGGTGCTATCTTAAACACACAACCAACATGTTAACATGTTACAATAAAGAACGGATACCATAAAAATAAGAAGTCGATCAATCACTAAACCAAAAGGGGGAAAAACTCGGCAATTCATTTAATTTCAAATTATCTGTCTCTCAAGTTCTTCATAAAGAGCAAAATAAATCTATTATTTGTAGGAATACATCTTACTTGAAATGGATCCAACTTCTCTGATTCCATAGGGCTGCTGTCAGCTTCATCGTTTGTTCTTTTGGAATTCAACTGCTCACGACAGGCCAGCAGGAATTGTACAGCCTGTATAAGAAAGAATATGGAAATGACATCTTCCTCAAATCAGTATCCTCTAAAATCAAGCAGTGTCCATAAATAACACCCAAATCTCCATATAGTATAGCCTTGTAAAGCAATTTTCATCTCGAAGGAGACTAAACTTATGCCTACAATAAATCCCAGCTAGCTAAAAGAAGGGTTCTTGGTTCCTCATCTTTACTCTAATAATTATCAGCAAGTGAGGAGTTAACTCTCCTTTATAAGAAAAAAATAACGATAATATTCAAATGTGCCATTGATCAAAATCATAAGGAAAAAGGAACATAAAGCTATGCTGAGAAAAAACATACTATATTAAAACTCCAACATTGTAACTGTTCAAATATAAATTTAACACAAGAGCAGGGTAAAACTGTTGAAGTTTTTGCTATAAGTTTTTTCAATGAAAACATAACATGCAGGCATTATTTACAGTTATTCACTCTATTGCCCCTTAAAGTATTCTCCCACATCATGTTGCTATTGGACAACCTGAAAGCAAGCACAAAAATTGTAACCAAGCTCCCCACTAAAATTAAAGAACTTCACATATTTAAAAAAAGCAGTCATGTATAAGAAAAGAAGTTGCTATCCAATACTCCACTCTAACAAAAATGGGAACTTATTCGAAGATGAAGGACAGGCATAAATGTCAAGTAAAATACCATCTAATATCAAGTATATAAGCTTTTACCACATGGTATACTCCAAAGAGATTTTAATGGATGGGGTACATGTCCTTGAAGAAAATCAGATAAGGAATGCTCTGATTGCTTATTCATTCTTGGGAAGAAGTGCAAATACATATAAGAAAGGGAAATGAATAAGTATGTCAGTCAATCCCTCAAGATCAGCTAACAATAACTGTTAGAAGGGGGAAGTCTTAGTTGTTAACTGAATAAAAAGAATTAGTCAGTCCTTAGCTTCGGAAAGTAAGAATATAATTACTTGATGCAAGATAACATTTCAGATGCAAGATACTAGAGATACAATCGATATATTATAATCCTACTGCAGAGAAATATGTCTAAATTGCTTGATCGTATTCATCTCAGTAAGGACATTTTTATACAAAATAGGAGCCTCAATCACAACAGTTCATTAATATCCTAATCTCAATGATTATGCTATCATTATGTGATGTCCCAATCTAATGCGGAATCCGAGTACAGAGCTATTGTGCAATCAATTTGCAAGGTTGTATGGATATATAAGTTACTGAATCAGGTTGGCTTCAAGTCTTCTTTACTAACAAAGCTATGCGGAGATAGCCAAGCTATCCCACGCATAACTTCTGGTCATGTCTTTCATGAATGCACCATGCAAATTGAGATTGATTGTCATTATATTTGTGAGAAGATTTAGGAAAACTCTATCTCTGCAAGACATGTTAAAACAGAAAATCAATTGGGTGATATATTCACAAAAGCTCTTAATGGAGCATGGATTGATTATATTTGTAACAAATTGGCTATGCTTAGCTGTGGGAATATCTTTATTTTTTATTCTTTTAATTGTATTGTGATTGTATAGCTTTCACTAGAATTTATTAGCCTTGGTGTATATATTTAGCTGTAACGTACTATTTATATTAATAAGAAAGATACTTTCTACCAAAAAATTCCACATGGCATCAGAGCTTGGCTTGGGATCACTAATTACTTTCTCCCAAAACATAATTTAAACAAAATAAAGAACATTAAATGTTTATCCTTATTTATTCTTTATTAAAATACCCATTCTTGTTTAAAATCTTATATGCATGTTCCTAATTTTTTAGCAACTACTATTATCTTCCCAAATTTATCTTCATCCTCCATTACTAAGGCACATAAAAAAGCAGCAACGTAGAGAGATCATGTGATTTCCAACAATCCTAATAATCAATCATCAAGATGACAAACCTCATCTGGCTTTTTTGCAGCAAGTAACGAATTAGTAAGGCCTCGCAGAACTTCAAAATTAATATCTTTAGATATCTGTCATGGAATAACAAAAGATTTACAGATAATATCAGCTCAAATTACTAAGGGCATCTACTAAGAATGGATTGACATCATAAACTTCATATTTACTGGTGCAACTAAAAGGTGAATAGAAGATATTTCATTAAAAATAAACTGTGAAGAATATATTTATTAGCAAGAAGTTAAGTAAAAAAAGAGTACGCAAATTTAATCATCAAATTTCAGAAAAAACAAAGATTTTGTTGATACTTGGGTACATTCACATGCAACCACAGCATTAATAGAAAACTATTTTTGGTTTGGATTCCATGTAGCCAACTCCACCTAGTGGGATAAGGCTCATTGTTTTATGATGGAAACCAAGATTGCATGACATGCCTAGTCACATGTCTGGGAGTATAGGCTGTTTTATAAGGGACTTAAGTAGGTTGGTTCTTCCAACACAATAGTTAGCCCTTGGGGGAGAATTCTTCAATACACTTGGGTTATCCATCAATGGGTATAGCATTACTGCTTAGTGATTCCAATAGGGGCTGCAAAATATTTTGATCTGTGAGGAAGCTAAATGTTGCAAAATACAACCAACAAGATGTCAACTCTCATAAGATGGTCCATTGATGGAGAATGATGAAAAATGGGAACACAGACCTGCATTGAGTATGGAATGCTTTATGAGATACTTAAGTGGATTAGTTCTTCCACCTTAATTAGTTTTTGCGGAGGTTTCCCATCCTGCCTAGGTAGGTGCCTATTAGATTACAATTTGACAAGGTACTGATAGCAAGTGGTCTGTACATGATGAGAAGACTGACCATCACTGAAGTTTTATATGCAGCAACACTGGCTTCATAATCTTTTAGTTCAAACTTAACCTCTCCAAGCAAGCGAAAAACATCAGCATCATTCGGTTTTTCCTTCGGACAACAAAAAAAATCAGAGCTATGAGTTCAATGATTGTTGGATATGGAACATCATATTGAAGCAAAATACATGGGCAAACTTTAGATATTAAACACATTAATAACCTTAGTCAAGTCATCAAGTAGAGAGGCAGCCCTTGCATAATCCCCTAGTTCCGCCAAAGTTACCGCAGCTCCCTGAAAATCCTTTCAAATGTACCTTGAAACACAAATAAAGGAGCAAACAGAACTAGCACCCATACTTACTTCAAGAGCAATAGCATCTTTCGGGGAGTCACGTAATACTGCCTCATATTCCTCAAGTCTTCTCTGCAATATCAGGAAGATCAATTCACAACTTTGTCAGCATTCTTAGTAACTACATTTCACGTGATGAGTGATCATGAAGAGATATATAGAACTGAACAGGTGTAGGCATTAGGACGCTCTAAATAGATGGAAGAAAATCAAAAGCCTCTTAGGCAGAAAAACTGCTGAAAAACAAAACTAGAAAATAATATATTAAAATTAGAAAGAGATGGGCATGCATGTGCGTTGAGAGATAGAGAGTCCAATCACATAATGCTTTTCAAGAAAGTTAGGGATGACTCCAGTATCACACCCTTTTTTGATACAATTTTCCCAACGAAACAAAATACTGAAAAACTTAAAATAATGCTTATTTCATCTTAGTAAAAATGAAGTTAACAATGCAAGAATGCATTTTCTCAAATCTAAAGTATTAAGCATCTATCTTCAATGGCTTCAAATAAAGTTATAAATTCATTAAAAAAAATATGAAAAAAAACCCCCTTTTTGGGAGTGGGGGGAATAATAGCTTTTGTGACCAGTAGATTTAGCCTTTTGCCAAAGATTAAAAGTTGAGATAAACAAATTAAAGTTGAAATAAATGGAAGCCTGATGTTGAAGGAAGAAAAGAATCTTTAATAAAACTAAGTTCCTCAAAAGGAATAAGAAAATAAAATGCCATACCTAGGTCCTTGTCCAAAGGTGGGAGAAACATTAAATCTACTAAGGATATGGGATACTAACTCCCACATTGAATAGTATGAAATGTTCAATGGGGCATTTAAGTGAATTGGTTCTCCCACTTCAACTAATAACTTTTGGGGTAGGGTTTCTCATCCCACTTAGGTACCCATTAATTGATATCAAAGCTTGGTTGTTGGTGGTTTCAAAAAGGACTACCCATGAAGAGTTCTGACTATCATAAAGTGCAACTGCTAGGATTTCATATTTCCATGGGAGGCCAATTGAGGGAGACTTGATAGTATGGAATACTAAATCTCACATTGAATAGTATCCGATACTCAATGGGGTATCTAAATAGGTTGGTTCTCCCAACTCAACAACTAGTTTTTAGGGCAAAGTTTCCCATCCGACTTAGTATACATCATCTATCAATTTCAATTTTATAATAACCACAGCAAATGAAATATAAACAATGCACTTTCCCATAGTTATCACCGTACAGGTGTTATAGCATACTTATATTGCTATAATTCATTCTCTTACACATTTTTGTTCCTTCTACAATCCACTTCTCTATTGTATCAAAGCTTCCAGCTCATCAAGCCAGATCTTGGCCAACATACGAATATAACTAGGGTAAAAGAACAAGGCCGAATTGTTAGCTACCAAAGGCATTTCACCTTACTGCTCAAAAAATGGAAGTAATCTAATAAGACCCAAACCAGCATCACCACAGAAACAGCAACAAAAGACAGTAATAACAATAAATGAGGGGAAAATACTGAGGTTTTGATATTAATAAAATGAGAGAAACCAAATCAGAGTTACAAGACTTCCTCCGATTCTGGCCAAAAACCTATCTCCCCTGAATGATCACAAAAGTAACAACATCACAAGCTCAAACCTCACAAAAAGGGTTCACTCCTTCTGGCATTCGAGAGGTTAGTCTCTCCTCACCATTCTCTCACAAAAGACATAACTCCCTCAATACAAGCAAAAAAATAAATATAACACATAGCATGGCTTTCCCCTTAGCCCATACTTCTTAAAAGATCTTAATCATGGCAAAAGATCACAGGCTACTGTTCCTTACGGCTAGAGACCAAAAGATAAACCTCTGGACCAGTCAGCATGATTCTACTAGAGTCATTCTTCCCCTTTGACTTCCTTTGATATGTCTTAGTAAAATAATGAGGGGCTCTATCATAATCTTAAACCCAACTGCAAACTTATGCTTTTTTAAGAAAGAAATGCAGACAAAAAAATTTGATGATCATTAGCATATGATAAATGATTATAACATGGAAATGATACCTGAAGAGTAGCTTTCTCCTCCTCTGACAACTTATTGTTGACCACCACATTTTCTTCAGTGGGGCTCACACTGAATTTTTTAAAACCATATCCCAGTCAAACCATAAAATTAAAAAAAAGAAAAACATGAGGAAAAATGCCAACAAAAAGTACAAATCATAGCCAAACTCCAATCGACATTTATTTTTAATGAAGGTAGTATTAATATAAACATGTTCTGATAATGTTACACATGTCATAGAACTTGTTATTTTATGTGAGATTAAAATAAAACACTTCAATCACCTCCAGTTAGAAGATTAGGCTTTTGAATTGAAAAGAGTCATGACATGGTACCTGAGCTTTTAGACCAAGAAAGAGGTTAGGACTTATGAATTTAATCCACGTCCCCATTTTCATAATTAAAATTAAGTTTCACAACAATGATACCAGGGTTGGTACTAACTCCTTACTTTCACAACCAAATAATTTGCCTTTAGTGTGAGAAGAAGTGTCAGAAATTACAATGAAACTACTCCTTTGCCTTCAATTGAAATGGTTTCTGGTGGTTATTATCAAGGAAAAAGTATACAAATAAAAAAGTAATGAAAATGAGCTTTTTCACATGGTTTCTCCTCCAAAACTGAAATTTGTTTTGCACTTCAAATAGGATAGCATCAATTATATGACATTAACATAGTTAGGATGATGATTAAAGCAATTCACCCATTAAATTCTAAAGAGTACAAACATGCAAAAAGAAAATATTGAAGAAAATGATATGTATAGCATCAACTAGACTTCAGATATATAATCTGATTTTAGACATGTATGCATACCTTCCTGATGGAAGAAAATCTCCAAAAGCAAATACCAGACCAAAAACCAAGACAGCCACACCTACTCCAATCTGTTTCATCGTAATATTTCTTCCATTTAAATAAGGCAAGAAAGAATGTATGCGCTACAAAGAAACACCCTTTCACCTTGGTACCAAGGCCAATGGTCTTGTCTGAATTTGGTGAATCATAGTCAATTGCACCAAATTGTTTTTCCTCCTCCGCCTGTTTTTGCTCAAGAGCTGATCTGAGTAATCAAAAAAAAAAATTAAAAAAAAACTTACTTTTAAGAAGACAATCTGAAATATTAATCATTGGACTGGAAAAAATATTAGAAAACAAATCATACTTTTATTGGTCAGAAGCATGTTCTTTTTTATAATGAATTAAACAGGCTCTATAAAATAAGTCACTATAATATAGGTAGGGCCCCCTATTAACCGAAGATTGGTCTCTTCCAATATTTTGATTAATCCTCCAAATGAACAACCATGAATGAAGGGACAGTCGCTAGCTGCTGCAGTATCCATGCATGGGCCTGTGCATGCACATCAATGCGTACTATAAAATGGAATAGCATGAGCAAGCATTAAGAGCAGTTTAAATGTTTGGTCATATGAATATCAGTTGCACAATAGATGAACATGAATTTTCCAACTGGAAAGCTCTATACTAATGCAAAAAAATAAAAATAAAAAATTATGTTAAGAGGACAAAAATTCTTGCCCGAGAGTCCTAACCTATAGCTGGAAAAACTAAGCTACAAACAACTGGCAACCTATTAAGCCGTGCCTTCCAAAAGATACTGTTGTTAAATAGTGCAAAACTGAAGATTCAATATGGATGCAAAGAGTTTTTCCATATCCAAAGTAACCAATAGCCAAAATAGTGATCAGAAAGAGAATGAAAAATAATTACAGCTGTACCTTTTCACTGCTTTTAGTCGTTCTTCAAATTCAAGATCCAACGAATTGTTTCTAGAACTTGGAAGGGACAACTCTATAAGGAAAAGCTCATGTTAATTTGATGCAGCAAACCCAAATAATGACCCCATGTCTAAGTGAACAAAGTTGGAAATATTAATTTGTTAAATATTTTATGGAAAGCATATGCAATCCAACAGAAGAGCGACAAAATTAGGAACACAATTAACTCAACTATCATATTGTATAAGGTAAAATCTTATATCACTGTGTTCATTGTCATTCTGTTTTACCTCAAACTATTTCATGCTTTTAAGGTGTCTTTATTTCTTTTTTACAAATAATTATATTAGGGCTTCAAATGCAATTTCAGGTGATTAACTATTAACTTCAATGCTCACTATTTTATTTCCTGCATTGACGCTCAAACTGGGATGGCAACTTATGTATGGAAATGAGAAGTTTCACCCCATAGAAATAATTCTTTTTGCATTCTGCCTGACAAAGGCACAACTGTAAACAGGTTGACTTTGTGAGTTATCAGGAAATAACGATGAACCAAGGAAGAGAATTCCTCAGTTATTCGATGAAAACTTATCAACTTACGAGATGATAGAGGCGGAGACTGTTTAGACGTCGATCGCCTGCAGCAACCAATACCATAGGCGGTTAGCAAATGAGCATTGTGAGTGAAAACAATACACAACGCACAAGTTCCACTAGCACTTAAAAGTCTACAATGAATGGCTTGAGCAACAAAGCTAACGACTGAAGGATCACAAGGAAACATCCAATGCATTTTCCAGATACCTTTGCGACGATACCAGGCTTTTGCCATCCCTCGAGGTATTGACTTCGTTGGCCTGAATAATTCAAAAGGTAAGCAATAAATTTGAGAAGGAAAAACGAAGAAGCAAGGAGATGAGAAACAATTAAGTTGGAATATCAATTGCGGTAACGCAAACTAGAAAAAGAAGATCAAGAGCAGTTAAGAAAAGGCATAAACGTTGATTTCGAAGCCGACAGAAGCACCTTGTCAGTGTTGTTGGCCTTGTTTGCTCCAAAACCACGGCCTGGTTTAGAATCCGAGCATCGTATTTGAGGCGAGAAGAAATTGCTGCTTCTGATACACGTCCACATAGTGTGAAATTTTTAAAACTCCATTCTGACAGCGAAATCGTCAGAACCTAGAAGGCAGCACAATACGCAATTTCGCACTGGTATGCTCCCCCGCTCACCCTCACCACTCCAAAGTGGTGTAGAAACTGACAAGTTTCAATACTCCGGTGCTCCACGTCATCATTTGATCAGGCATTTAATATTTTAAAATTTTGTAATATTAAAAGTCATAAACAATCAGACAGTTTGAGGTCATCAGCTTAGTGATCGACGACGAAGCAGCCATGTCATCCACCTTGTCCCATGTCATTGTCCACATGACAAGACAAACCAGCCACGAAGTCATCTGTCTGATATGTCATCCAAGTCATCATCCAGGCATAATCCATATCAACACACACATCATATGCCAGGTCATTATCCTATAAACACATTGCCGATTCACCATGTCAGGTCATCCCCTTGTCTCTTTTGACGAATCAACTCCTAAAGCCACGCCATCATATACTACACATATCCCGTCCCAATCAATAATAAATCATTTGTCATACCACCTATTGAGCATATTATCATCATATATATTCTTTCAACACATGAATAACATTATTATTAAATTATTTAATTATTTATTTAATCATTTATCATATCATCTCACACTTCATTAAGCATTATATTTATAAAATTAATGTGTCATCCTATTTATTTAACATATCAAATAGAAGTCAACTGTCACAATGTCATCCAACTCATCATTCACCTCATGCCAGATCACCCTCCAAGTCTTTGCCACATCATCATGTGTTTTGCCAAGTCAGCACCAGGCCAACATCATTAGCCACACCTTTAGACAGTTCATCCTCCATGTCAGCAATCACTTCTCTGGCCGTGTCATCATCCGGCTCTCGTCCGGATCCCAATCATAATTCATAATAATAACATAATTATTAATATCCTGTTCATAAAAAATAAAAAATTGCCCCGGCGGCTCTTATCTACGTCACCGTCACCGCATCTTCCTCTCTCAAGTCTCAACCCTCGAACAGTCATTCTTCAGCAGCCAGGAACTGGCAGCGGAGAAGGAGAAAAGTCGTGATCGAACCAACTCGGCCGTCATGAAGAGATTTGTGGCTGAATAGAGCGCAATCTCCGGCGAAGTAGGTTTGCGACGGAAGGCTTTGTGTCCGCGGAAGATCGTTCGAAGGAGGGTGGTTGAGATAAGTTAAGAAGTATCCTCGATTTCTCTCGGCTGCAATGCATTTGACTAGCTCGATTTTATTTTTTGGGTACAAAGATTGTTTTGGTTGATTGGAAAAGCTTAGTTAATCGGGTGTCGAAAACATAAAAATCAAACAATATATCCCTTAGCAGTTGAAAATCAACATTCGGAGAAAACTTTCGGAGCAAATAGTGTAAACAGAAAGGTAGATATTAAAGCTAAGATCATTTCCGTTATAGCTAGACAACAAAAATAACGATAATATCTTCTTCCATTCTGCTAATACCCGGAGTTGGTTGCGTGTGAATTGAAGGCTGTATATTGGAAGGCGACGGGCGAGGGGAAGACTGAACGAACGTATTGGGTGGTAATATGGTATGAAAACTACCAGCGTGTGAACTTTTTCATTTGTATTAATCACCTCTCTTTAAAATGATAGAAGGGTGTGGTATTTACTGTGCCACTAGTGGCAAACTGCCTTTGTAGTTTGTACATTTCTTTTGCTCTGAATCTTAACATGTTTGAACTTTAGGTCACAGTTTTGAGTACATGGTTATCGAAAACTGTTCTTTCATTGTAGAAGACAGGGTGCCAAGTAAGCTTTCGAGAAGATTAAAGGCAGGAGCAGGAAATAGAAAAAGGCAAGGGAACTTTGGTGTTTTTTCAATGCTGCACTCAATATTGTATTATTTTGTCATGCATGGCTATCAAAATGTTTTCTTATCTTCTATTTATATGGAATGCTTTAAAGATTATGAATGCATGATTCTTTGCAGAATTTTTTCTGGTGGTGCATTTTGAGAAAGCAAGTTGAGAAAGGCCCGGCTATTATTCTTGACATCCTTTTTGTTGCAATTCTCTTTAGCAAAATATACTGCATGCGGATTGAAGTTTGGACGATTTACATGCGAATGAGGAAGGAAAGTCAGATCTAACATGTGATGTAAGGCATAGGCGCGGGGCTCGTGGATTAGCTTGCTGCACAAGGGGTTCAATTCATGGATACATTAGGCTTCATTTCTTCATTGGCTTTGATTGTAACACTTCAGTACAGGTTTAGTCTCGCACTTTTTTTCTTATGGGGGTTTCTCTTTGTACCGTAGAAAGTTATCTCATTATTGTAATTCAAAGTTGTTGGATTTGTAAGTTTCGGGAATTTTGGTTATTATAATTGTCATCCACAATCATGAATGAATGTTGACGTGCTTTACAAATATTAATTTTTTTTGCCATTCCATTGCCACCTACAGGTTAGCGTGTGTTTGGATTGAGGAGAAACGCGCGTTTTCAGCCTCAGAATTGATTTTTTGAACAAAATATCCAAACAACAGAAAAATACAAAAATTGATTAAAAACACAAAACGCGCGTTTTTTATTAAGCTCCTTCCACCAGCTTTTCGCAAAAAATTTATCAAAAATGTTAGGAAAAATTACAAAGAAAGGCCCAAGAAAAAATTAAAAAAAGCACATAATTTAATAAAAATAAAATTAAACTCTCTTCTTTTCCCTTTTTTTTCTTAACAAAATTTAAAATTTGTATATTCAAAAAATTAATATTTAATATTTAAAAATTAAATTATATAATAATTTATATAGTTAAAAATTAATTCTGATTAAATTATTCAAACAACTTTAATTCTGTTAAAATCAATTTTAAAAAAACAGTATCCAAACAGATTGCATTATAATATAATCAATTATGATTAAAATCTACTACTTAATCAATTATTTTCATAATCTATTATACCAAACTGAAATCCAAACGGATCCTTATATGTTAAGTTTTTTCTAGTTTAGTTGGCTAATATATTATACAGTAAATGTTTTGCATCTCTTGCACGAGATACTCTTTGAATTTTTTTTTTTTTTGCCATTTATGCATAAAATAGATGAAGCATATCAAATAAAATGTCATATAGTCTCATTCACAAGAATTAAGGGCCCGTTTGGTTAAGAAAATAATCGATTTTTTCACTAAAAAAATTGATTAACCAAAAAAAATATTCAAACATCACCTTTTGTCATTAATCTCGATTTTTTCCAAAACTTGTATTTGCGAGCTTTAGGGATAAAGGTGATCAAAGGCATTGAAGAAAATTACAAATAAAGGTCTGAGAAAAAAATTATAAAAAAGACACAAAATTTAATAAAAATAAAATTAAATTTTTTTCCCTTCTTTTTTTTTTTGTAAAATTAAAGCTTTGGATCTTATAAAAAGTTGATAGCATAAGTTATTGTCAACCACAACCCTCTACTTAGCACTTACTATAAAACTAATTCAAATAAAATATTAATTGATAAAGAAAAATTAATTTAATTTAATTTAAAATTTAGAATCATTACAAAGATTTTTGCAAAAGTCTGGAGAAAGAGAGAGATTTTGTGTCATTTATTACATCATTACATTTTTTATGTTACCAAAATTTCTACGCAATACTTAACATCTTCATCAAATATTACTTATATTCATGATATCATTAGATATTAACTTCTATATTATCATCTTTATTAGTTATTGTAAAATTAATGTTTGATATTTAAAAATTAAATATTCTCTTTTATTAAATTTATTTGAATTAAGATATATTGAGTTGTTCATTTAAGTAAATTAAAATTGTTAGAATTATTATAATTTAAATTTTTATAATTAATCAAATATATAATTTGAATAATATATTTTATTTTTAAATAAAATTTAAAAAATTTAATAAAATTAGATACAAATTTATCAATAATTTAATTTTAAAAAGCAATATACTTTATAATAATTTATACAGTTAAAATTAATTTTAAATAAATTATCCAAACATCTTCGACTCTATTAAAATTAATTTTAAAAAAAATATTCAAAGAGATTGTGTTATAAAATAATCAATTATGATTAAAATTTATCACTTAATTAATTATTTTCATAATCTATTATACCCAACTAAAATCTAAACGAACACTATATCGTCCAAACTCCCATTAATCTCAAGAAGAGTCAATTCTGAATAGCACTAATATAAGAAATTTGGACAGCAAAGTAGCATTCTATCAACTAACTCAACTTTATCACATTACAAGTAAGGCTGAGCAAGCAACTCGCAACCCGCACGACTCGCTTGTACTCGTTAAAAATGAGCGGGTAAAAACCCGCCCATTTAACAAAAAAACGGGTGGGCTGAAATTACGGGCTAGCCCGTTAATAAGATATACGGGCGGGACGGGCTACAGGTTAGCCACCGGGCAACCCGTCCCATCCCGTAATAATTAAAAAAAATTTGCAAATTATTTTTTATTAAAATACTGGAAGAGTGAACAGTGAAACAAGACGCTGGCACCTGGCACGCTGCGTTTTGCCTTCTGCGGTTTTCTGAATACCATTTCCTGCCAATGCTGAAATCAAAACCCTCGGACTCGGTCCCTCTCCCTCGCAAATCATTGCACGCAGACGGCAGACCAGGCAGCCGCAGCTTCACTCAGACAGCCAAACTCGTAAACACAGAGCGACAGAGGGCAATCGGGCAGACTCATAGACATAGTCGCATACCTCCACAGCTCTAATCGCGCATTCTCACGTCGTAGAGCAAACTTGTCTTCTAGAGTGTTTCCAAGGATTCTGGGCCACGAGGCTATGGGGTAAGCTTCTGAGAATTCCTTTCGAAGGATTCTTCTTTCTCGCAGACGGCAGACCAGGCAGCCGCAGCTTCACTCAGACAGCCAAACTTGTAAACGCAGAGCGGCAGAGGGCACTCGGGCAGACTCAGACATAGTCGCATACCTCCACAACTCCAATCTCGCATTCTCACAGTCGTAGAGGAAACTTATCTTCTGGAGTGTTTCCAAGGATTCTAGGCCACGAGGCTATGGGGTAAGCTTTTGAGAATTCCTTTCGAAGGATACTTCTTTCTCACAGTCGCTACCGTGCTTTTTAGAAATATCTTCCAAGTATGATTAATCACTAATCTATATTAATTACTTGTAATTTCTTTCTTATATGATATTTGTGTATGATATAATTAATCTTGCTCAGTCGCTTAGTCACAATATCTTGCTGCCTCGCTGGCTTGCTCACTCCCTGATTCAATCTTGTGCGTGTCTTCCTGCCAAGCTAAGACCAAGTAAGTTGTTAACATTATAGTGATGATTATTTGACTCAGCGACTCTGCCTTTGCTCTTAGCTGTGAATTAGTTTAACTGAATTGGATATGCCACCAATAGATTTCATTAACAAAGTTTAGAGGTGACAAACAAATCCTTCCTTTTCAATTTCCAATATTGCTTGCGTGTCTAACCTGTTGTAGTTAATTAATTTCTTGAACACCATATTCCCAAGCAGTGTCGATGTGCCTGTAAGTCTGTAACCAGCTTGCAAAGAAGCATCAGATTCCATGAGAATCCCACAAAAGAATGGATGCATAAGTTAATTAACTTACTTTTGAATATATTGAACTATTTCATAATGTAAAGATCTCCACATTGGTGGGAACATGTATAAATACATTGCTTGACTGAAATTATGCTTGAAAATTAAAATTATGTGATTTTTTTTGTATTATGAAATTATGTGGCTGCTTGATTGAATAATTGTACCTTCCTAATTTTTTAGAATTTAAAAGGATGAGCAACACTCAAACCCTTAAAGCAAATGTGGAAGAAGGTGATATTGAAACTAAGGCTACTGCGACATCACACAGTCCCACTACTCGAGTAGAGAATGCCACAAATAATGAGGGACAAAAACAAGCACCGGCTAGGAAAAGGAAGAAGCAAAGATCTAAAGCTTGGAAGCATTTTACAAGGATGCCACTTGAGCAAACTAAAGGGAAGCACCGTGCCAAATGCAACTATTGTGGCATGGATTATGCGAGTCATCCTTCGAACCATGGGACTAAAGCACTTTGGCGGCATTTTGAAAAGTGCCCAAAGAATCCAAACAAAGCTAACAAGATGACACAATCTTTATTCTCTGTTACTTGTAGCCAAACAATGTCTACACAATTGTTCAATCAAGAAGGTGCAGGAAGGATCTTGCTAAATTTATTGTAAAAGATGAGATGCCTTTTTGAGTTGTGGAAGGGGAGGGTTTTAAAGAACTATTGCACGGACTTGAGCCTAGATTTCAAATCCCTTCATGATGGACAGTTGCTAGGGATTGTTACAAGTTGTATCTTGAAGAAGCAAGACATCTAAAGAAATATTTTAAGAAATTTAAAGTTCGTGTGTGCCTTACCACAGATTGTTGGACTTCAATCCAAAATGCCAACTACATGTGTTTGACTGCTCACTGGGTTGATGAGAATTGGACATTACAAAAGCGGATTTTGAATTTTTCTGTAATTGAAAACCACAAAGGAGATACCATCGGGAAGGAAATTGAGGGATGTTTATTTAGTTGGGGTATTGACAAAGTATTTACAATTACAGTTGACAATGCTTCTTCCAATGACACTGTAATTGCATATTTAAAAAAATGTTTGAGGGAATGGAATGGCCTTATATGTGATGGAGAGTATATGCATATGCGGTGTGCTGCTCATATTTTGAATTTGATTGTTTCTGAAGGATTGAAAGAGATGAATAAGTCCATTGAACTCATTCGGCATGCGATAAAATTTGTTAGATCTTCTCCGGCTAGGCTACATAGATTCAAGGAGCT